CCCCGTCCTGCGGCAGGAGCGGGCGGAGCAGCTGCCCGTGGCCCATGCGTGGCCGCCGCCTGCCCACTCAGACCTCAGTCTGGAGGTCAATGATATCCTGGCCCACCAGCGGGATTGTGGCGCCCGACTTCTCCCACTCCACGCCGCGCAGCTCCAGTGGGGACGGCTGCAGTGGCTCCAGCTCCTTCTTCCCCCATGCGGGCGTCCCGTGGGCCTTCCGGAGGCTCTCCCAGGGCCGCTTGTTGGGCGTCTGCTGCTTCTCTGGCTGCTCGGTGTGCCGCAGCCATCGGCACAGGTGCAGGGGCCAAGGACACAGGGAGAGAAGAAGTTGCAGGCACCAATCAGAGCAAGGATGGAGCTCAATTCTGGGGGCGCAGGATGGCAGGAGACCCCAGCACAGAGCAGGGGGGCACAAGGGCCTCACTGATGGGGCTGGCAGGGAAGGGCCGCACAGCACCCCTCGCCGCCCCAGGCCTGGCCTCGCCCCATGTAGTGGCAGGTCCTTTCACCCTGTGTGGACCTCCTGCAGGATCTAGAGCCTGGCAAGAGGAGGAGGGCAGCCACCTGCTGGCCGAGACCCCCTGGCCCGCCAGACACCAGGCAGGAGGAGGGCGGCCACCTGCTGGCCAAGGCCCCCCCGGCCCCCCGACACCTGCCCTCCTGACCTTGCTCTCTGGGCCCAGCACCTCCTTGTCCTTCTCGGCTGCGTGCTGCAGTTTCCGGTTCAAGTCCTGGAACATGTCCTGGTGCCGCTTTCGGGTGTGCATGATTTTCTGCAGGTTAGGGGAACCGGGTGGGGGGGCCCTGAGTCAGGGGAGGGGCCAGGCTGCCCCTGACTCAGGGACAGGCCTGCAGGGTCTGGAGGCCTGCCCTTTCCCGGCACCGGTCACCGCCCTCTCCCTGCTGGCTGGAATGGCCTGAACTGGCCTATGAGGAGCTCAGGACATGTCTGGCCCCAAATTCGGGGCGGGGGAGCCAGGACCCACCTCAAAGTCCAGTTCTGCATACCGCGATTTCCGCCGCTGTGGGGAGAAGGGATTTGCACTGGGTCACCCGGACCTCCCAGACCCTGTCCCGATTTCCAGTGAGGAAGACACCCCCCCACCTGCCTGCAGGTCCAGACCACACCTGGGGCTGGCCCTGGGCAGGCACTTTAAGCCACTGGGCGCCCCCACCCTGGGGACAGTGGCCCCAGTAGGAGTCTCAGGGAAAGCGAGTGGGCAGGGCCTGGGGTTGCCAGGGCTGAAGGGAGCAGTGAGAAGCTGGAGGCCCCAGTGGACAGGATGAGGGGAGTCTCGGGGGCCCCCTTCTCCTGAGGGCAGTAAGGTCTTGTGGAGCTGGGCCAGCCGGGCCTCCCCCTCTCCCAGTCCAAGGAACCTGCTGCCCTCGGGGCCTCCCCACGCTGAGGCAGTGCCAGCACCTGCACAGCACGTCAAGGTAGAGCTGAGCCTGGGCGGGCCCAACTTGGCCTGCCCCGATTCTTCCACGAGCTCAAGGCTGGGGCTGCGTGGCTGGGGTCACATGCCAGAGAACTCAGGGCTGCGGGGCGGCACCAGCATGGGCTGAGGGCCAGGAGGTGTGAGTGCAGCCTGGGGAGGGTGCCTGAGGCAGCTGCCCTGGCTCTGAGCCATGTCAGGTGGGCCCCACTCGGAGTCAGCCCCAGGCTCCGGATTGACAGTAGCAGAGATCTGCAGCACCCCACCACAGGGCAGGCTGGACCCGGCGCCCCGGGGCGGTGTGAGTCCAGTTCAGGCTGTCCAGGCCGGGGCCCTTGCCCTCTGAGGAGGGGGCACACGTGACAGGCTTCAGCACCAGCAGAGCTGGCGCCGTCCTGAGGACCTGGCAGTGCCTGAGTGCTCTGTACTGCCAGGGCCCACGGCCGCTCCCCCCAGCTCTGTCCATGCCACCGCGAGTCCCCCAGCGCAGGCTGCCCTGGCCCATGGCGTCCAAGGCCCTCACCTCCAGGGAGCTCACAGACAAGGTGGAGACATTCTCGTTCTTGGTCCCAGCCCCTGTGCTGGGTCCCGCATGGGCCGCAGGCTCCCCAGGCTCTGCCAGGCCAGAGGGTGCTGGCTCCAGGGTGGGTGGCGGGGGCAGGGGCTGTTGGGGAGGAGGTGGTGGTGGGGGCGGGAAAATCGGGCGCAGTGCTGAGGTGGATGAGGCGGGTCTGCGGCATCTGGTCGATGTTGATGCTGAACTTGGGCTCTGCCTTGGGCTTGGGCCGGAGCGTGGCTGTGGCTGTAGGCAGGATCACGTAGCTCGTGTCCAGGGCCTTCTCCTGGGCCCGGCTCAGCTCCGAGTCCAGCTTCTTGAAGATGTCCCCATCGCCAACAAAGGAGGTCTTGGGCGCCTTGTCCTTCTTGAGAGTCAGCGAGTGGCTGGGGGGCTCCGGCGACGGCGCGCACGGCGCGGGGGCCAGCTGCCGCGTGGGGTGGCGTGGCGAGCCGTGCAGGTGCAGCTTGGACACGTTGGCTGGCAGGCTATTGAAGTTAGAGGGCGGCCCCTTAGCGTGGGCCAGCTTCAGTTTCTCCTCCTCGGGCAGCGAGGGCCGTTTGAGTGTGCCAGTGATGGTGGCCGTGCGGCAGGCTGCGATGTCCTTGTTCAGCACTGTGGAGTCGCGAGAAGAGGGACAGGTCAGGGTCAGGGCGGCGCAGACGGGGCTTGATGGGGACCCTCCCTGGGCTGCTGATGGACCCCGGCAGATCCCTTGCCTATGCCTGGCGCTGCAGTGGCCAAGGCTCCTATGCTTACCCCAATGCTGCTCTGCCCTGCTGGTGACAGGCCACATGCTGGCGCTCTGAACCACTGCAGGACAGAGGGCCTGGTAGCCCCTGTGACCCCACACGGGCCCTCACACTGGCCCCACCATGCAGCCTGCAGGACTCTGCCTCAACCCAGTCCTCTGCCTGAAGGCCTCCTGGTCCTGGGAGGCAAGCCCAGCCCTAGACACCTCCCTCTTCTGTCAACTGCATGAGGCCCAGGCTCCTCTGACCTCTGACCTGGGCTCCAGCCTCCAGCAGCCAGTGGAGAGAGCAGAGCCAAGCACCCCAGCATTCCCTGCGGCCCTGCCCTCCTCTGGTCCCCTTGCCAAGGAAGTCTGCCCTGACCCCTGTTCACCCCCAGCAGCCCCAGTGTCGCCAGCTGTTCCATCCTGCCTCACCAGCAACTGAGACACTCCAGGGTCACTGCAACCTCTAGGCTGCCCAGGCCGCTAGTCGCTCACTGTCCTGGCCATCCCTGATGGCCGCACTGTACCCTGTGCTCAGCCCGGCCATGCCCCACTCCCCTGTTCCTCTCCACAAGGGTCAGGGCATCTCAGGAAACACCTGTTCTGCAGCCAGCCGAGGGCCTGGGGTTCCCTGGCATCCCTCATTCCCCACCAGGCAGAGCGAGCCCTAGCACCGGGACAGGTCTGAGTGTTCTCAGCTGAAGGCAGAAGCCACGCCTGCACCCCAGCAGGGCCTGCTCCATGGGCTCAACAGCCACTGCACACAGTCCAGAAGGTGTCACGGCTCTCTTACCAGTGAGGACTTGGGCCTCAGAGAGGCCAGCATGTGCCCAAGCAGGGCAGGGCTACCACCTAAGCCTCCAAGTCCAGGCACCTGTGACAGGAGACTCAGAGGGTGCAGGACTTTCTGTCCAGCTTCTGTTCAGCCCAGCCCCAAGGTCAGCACATCCAGGAAGTCCTCTAGGGCCCATTCGCAACAGCGGACATACCCCTGGGGCTGTCCCCATGCCTCTAACAGGGTTCTCTCCAGGGCAGGCTCCTCACATGTGTGACCCAGCAGAGAAAGCAGGGCCAGGTGGTTCCCCCAGGAACCTGGGTCACAGAAAGGATTGGGGGAGGGCAGGCCTCGTCGGACACGTGTGGCTGGGAGGAGCTTCCCCTACTGGACAGGCGACACCCTTGGGTACTTGCTCGCAGAAAGCTCAGTGGTGGCCCATCTCCATGGCAGGTCCCTCTCTCCCTGCTTTCCTCCTGCTCTCACCAGTGTCCCCCACCCGATCTGAAAGCTCAGCTGGCCTCTGCCCCATGCTGGGTCCACGCGAAGAAATGAAGGCACCACAGACCAGGTGCTGTGAGGGGCGACGACGGTGGACGATGAGGGGCCAGTGGGGGTGGAGGCAGGACCACTCCAGCCCCAGAGCTGGCCTACGCTTGCTGCCCCAGGAGGGGGGTGGAGGGCACAGACAGATCTGTGGGTGCCGAGGGCAGAGGCCAGCACCAGACTGGGGGCCCCCAGTGCTAAGGTGCCATAAGCAGTGCGTCCTGCACGTCTGTGTGCCCCACAGACCCTCTGCAGCCATGGGGAGAGGGCGGGATGGCAGGGGGTGGCATGATGGGTGCCCAGGCAGGATCCCATCAGACCCGGCTCGGGCGCAGGCCTTGGGTGCAGGGCCCAGTGTGTGGTGGTGGCAGGCAGGTGTGGGCGAGGACCGCTGAGGACACAAGGTAGACAACGCAGAGGGTGGGCAGAGAAAGTGGCAGGTGGCAGCCAGATGCCCATGGCTCTCACCTGTCAGACGCTCACCTGATCTACAGGCCAGATCCACGTCCTTCTCGAAGTCAGTCTGCAAGACAGATGGCACGTGGGTGAGGGCATGGGCAGTCCTGGCACGGCCATGCCCCAGGGAGGGTGCTCCTGAGGGCTCACGGGGGCCGTGCGCAGATGCGTTGCCGTGTACATGCCCCACGTGCCCTTGCCTGTCAGTGTACCTGAGGGCGTGTGTGCATGTTCGTGTTGTGAGTGCATGTACCGGTGTTTAGTGTGCACTCGTGTGTTCACATGTGTGACTACACTCGTGTCGGTGTGTGCCTGTGCCAGTGCATGAGTTGGTAGAACACGCGTGAGCGTGTGCAGGGGCACTCCCCACCAAGGCAGAGCACCCTATCTCCCCTGCCTCGGCCTCTGTACCCCACCCCAGGCCTCCAGAGCCACATGCTGCTGCAGCCCAGGGCTGGGCACTGCAGGCTGGCCTCTGGGAGGGCAGGCGGGGCTCAGATGCGGCTGCCATGGCCCTTGCTGCAGTGGGAGGCAGAGGCCGGAGAGCCAGGCCCAGCCTGTGAGCACAGGGCCGTCCTTCTCCAGGGCCCAGCTGGGCTCTTGATCTCAAACCTGGAGGCTTGTCCCCTGCATATGCAGGAGTCGGCTTGACCAAAGGAATGGTCTTCCCTCTGAGGGCACAGGTCAAGGCAGAAGCAGCAAGGGTAGGGGTCTATGTTCCAACCTGTTGGGTCCCTTCCAGGTGGGGACAGAGGCCCACAGGGGCCACGGCCCTGCTCGGACATCAGGTGTGAGCTGGAGGAGGCCTCCTCTGGGGGACCTTGCTCCTCAGAATGCCCATGGGCCTGGGGAGCACCTTGCGGTGCCAGGCTTGCTGAGTCCCATGGGCAGCAGGTTCCAGCGCAGTGCAGGTTCACCCGGGACCAGCCAGGCCTGAACAGGCTCTAGGTGGGGCGGGTTCCCTGAGGAGGTGAGGTCTCGGCTGAGCCCATGGTGACCAGTGGGAGCAGGCAGGGCACACAGGCTAGGTGGAGGCACATGTGACAGTGGTGGAGGGGAGCCCACCCTGTGTGCGTGGCTCAGGGGCTGCAGGGCCCTGGGCCTGGAGGTAGAGGCAGGGCCAGGGCTCCATTTCAGTGAAAGCCACAGATGCACTTGGGGGAGCCTGGAGCCCAGACAGGAGCGTCAGTTGGGGCAGGTCTGGAGAAGGGGGATGGTGGGAGAGGGCATGCTGGGCCCCACAGCATTGGGCATCAGCCTGCTAGGGGCCTGGCTGGTGCCCTGGAAGGGGCCAGGGTGGCAAGGCAGGGGCTCTCACAGCAAGGACGGGATGGGGGGAGGCCGAGTATGCGCCTAGAGGGGCTGGGGTAGAGGGCAAGGCCGGTGGCCAGGTCCCTTCCTGGGCTGGGGCCAAGGTGGCGTGGGGGTGCGTGGGGCAGGAGGCAGTTCAGCCAGGGCTGGATGCTTGGTAGCATCTGGCCAGGTCCACCAAGGGGCAGCACAGGGTGGGTGCCACCTCCTGAAACTCGTCCTCTGGACCAGGATCTGCCCTCGGCAAGCCTCCGTTTTCCCAGTGGCTAATGCCCAGTGCTGTGCGCGGGGTTGCACCCGCAGGGGGTGGGCATTGGTCGCCTCACCCTGGCTCGAGCCCTACCATGAGCTGTGCGTGGCCGTTCTGGAAGGAGCCGCCCGAGTCCCCGTTGCCCTCCTCCTGGCGGTCGACCACGCGGCACTTCACAGCATCCTGGACCTGCGTGGGGGAACGCGTCAGCGCCACAGGCCCAGGCTGAGCTCCTGCCGGAGAGGCCTTGGAAAGGCAGGGAAGCTGGCACCCCCACAAGGTGGGTGGACAAGGCACGGCCACACCTGCCATAGGCTCAGGGCTCATCCCTCGTCTCAGCGGTGGCCGTGTCCCTGTGGCGGGAGAATGAGACTGATGCTCCGGCTGCGGAGGGTGTGCTGCAGGCCCTCCTGGCTGAGCCAGCAATGGGGACCTGACAGCCTGATGACGTTCACTCGGTCCGCTGCCTACCCTGAGTCATCCGCAGCCAGTCCCTGCAGCTGCTCCCACACCCTGCCGCGCTCCTCAGAGAACATGCTCCCTCGAGCATGGCATGGGCGACAGCAGTGGGCTGCGTGGGGGCCACGGCAGACGGCCTGTCCTAGTGGTCAGACGAAGCTGGTCAGTAGGGAGGAGTGGAGACCAGCTGTCCGGGGACGCAGCTGCTCGATATGAGGAAGGGCACAGGAGGAACTGGTGGCCCGTCCCCAGCGGCACAGCCAGCTGCCTGGCTGTCCAGGGCCGTGGGGCTGCAGAGGGCAGGGCACCACCCTCCATGTTGGCTTGCCAGGGCTACAGCAAGTAAAGGGGACCGGAGGTGCAGAGCAGGGAGAAGCACCCAGGGCTTCCTGGAGATGGTGTTCTGAGCAGAAGGCAAGGATGAGGTGGGAGGAGGCCATGCCAGGGCTCCTGACTCCCAGGCACACACACACCCACAGATCCCTGCCCCCCATTTCTTCACCCAGCCCTCCCATCAGGCACATGGGCAAGACTTGCCCAAGGCCACACAGCTGCTCAGCGGCAGGACTAGGCCTAGAAGCCAGATTCTTGCTGGCCCCCGAACCACGGGCACGGGCACTAGCTAGGTCTAGGCCCTCCTTCCTGCCAATGCTCACTCCTAGTCCACCTAGCAAATGTTTACTGAGCTCCTCTGCGCGTCCAGCTGTTGGCAGGCCAAGGTCCCAGGAGGCACTAGGTACGACAGTGTGCTCTCTGCTGGCATGCAGGGAAGTTGTACTACCAGATTCCCTGTCCCCTCTCCTCCAGGAAGGCCACCTGGGTGATCAGGAGAGCTGGGCTGTGTTGGTGCAGATGAGGGCTTTCCTCATCTCCCATCTGGATGCTCTGTGCCCACAGGGCCGGCTGGGCTTCCTGGTGTGGCCTGCACTGGCCCCTCCTGGCCCGCTCTCAGCACATCCCGGCAGCCCTTGCTGAGGCATGAGGATGTGGATGGGCTCGCAGTCTGCTCCTCTGCAGGATGCACGGAGCCCACGGGCAAAGCAGGGGCTCATGGGGCTATTAGCCACATCTGGCCCTCAGGTGCTCTGTTCCTGCCTACATGGGAGCTGGTGGAGTCTTGGCTTCCCCCACCGCCATGCTCTGGTTCCCCTGCAGAGGGTTCTCAGAGCAGGTCTCTGCCCAAGCTGCCCCACCTGCCCCACACTCCCCTCCTGCCTGGGGCTCTGAAACCAGGCCTCCCGTGAGCTCCTCTCCGCCTCCTCCGCCCCTGACACCAGCTGGCCCCTTCGGGTCACTGGCACATTACACCTCTCCTCCTGTACCCTAAGTTAGGACGCAGCCTGCACCTTGTGCCTTGGTGGCCCTGTGGTTGCTGCTCCTGTCCGATTTCTACCCGGTCCTCTGTCCCAGCTGCCCCTTTCTCATTGTTGGCTGTTGGTGTTTCACGGGAGCCAGGCAGCGGGAGCCAAGCTTCCAGCCAGTGCCCAGCTCTGCATGCGGCTGCAGTGTCCCAGAACAGGAGCCTGTCGGACTGCTGAGGGTCCCAGGGCAGCCGGCACGGGGAGCACCCCCGCAGAACGGTGGCATGCACTTCCTCCTGGCATCTGCCCCATTTGGTTGGCCTCACCATCAGGGCATCCCCAAATCTGCAGTAGCTGCTCATGTGTAAGTGTGCAAGGGGTTGGGGGGCTCGTGATGGGGTGTCGGGTCAGTGTCTGCCTGTCATACCTCGTGGCTGGGGTCCCTTAGGGAATGCTTCCCCACCTGTTTCCGGGAGCTGCCCCCATCTCCAGCTGTGCTGGGCACCCCCAGGTCAGGCCCCTCTGGTGACCCTTCCTGGACAGTGAGACACAGGAGGCCAGCTGGGCAGCACTGCCAGGACAGGGCACGGTGAAAACCAGCCCTGAAGGGGACAGAAAATCAGTGCCTCAGGGACACACCCTACCCTTCCTCAAGGTCCCACTGCCATTTCCTGGGCCTCAAAACAACTGACACTAGCCAAGCCTCAGCCTTCCTTCCTTCCAAACGTCGGTGGCAAGAGCAGCTGCTTCTGAGGGTGCCCAGGCACCCAGCTGGCCGCTCCCGTGGCTCCATCTTGCTCCCATTCGGGGCCTGTGCTTTCCCAAAGGCACTCTGCTGTCCTTGCAGGCAGTTCCTGGGGCAGACAGGCCACCCCTGCCTAAAGCCACATCCCTGCTCAAAGGGCACCTTAGGCCACTTAGGGCCAGGTGCACGGTCTCCACTGCCACCCTCTGGAAGACCAGGACATGTTGTCCTAACCTCTGCCACCAGCTGGTGGTGACTGGCTGTGGGGACACAGTTTGGTGAAAATCTTCTCTGGGTACCAGGAGCGCAGACCATGCCAGGAGCAGGAGTCCCGGCCATCGTGGGAGCTGGTTGCATTCCCCCCTGCACTCAGCCCTCCTGGGCTGTGGGGACAGAGTCCCTTGTCACTAGAACAGCTCAGGGCTGGCTGGCATCTTCGGGAAGTTGGTGCCATGTGAACAGGCCAGCCACCTGGGGCACGCAGGACAGGGCTACCCACAGATAGCACCTGCTCCTGAGGACCGGCGTCCACGCATGTCCAGGAAGCGTGTGCAGATCCACACCCTGCCAGACCGCCATGGCCTATGTGAGCACTGGGGTTCCCAGCAGGACCCCCGGGGCGCGGTGTGCCAACCCACCTCCCGGCGCAGGATGCAGTGCACCATGACGATGACGAAGCCCTCCAGCGAGTCAAAGACCGCGAAGAGGATCTGGAAGAGCGCGGAGCGGCGGTCGGTGACGGCCAGCACGGCCGACATCCAGGTCAGCGCCAGCAGGGGCAGCACCACGCAGGAGCTCCACAGGGAGGCCCTGCGGACGAGGCAGCCCGTCAGCCCCCGCCCACCACTGCAGCCCCCCACCTGCCCACTTCCTGTGCTCTGCCCCTCCTCCCAGAGACCCTCCTTCAGCTGAGGGGTCCCTGGCTCCTGGGGCTAGGGCACAGCTCCCCGGCAACCCCTGCCCACAGCACACCTGAGGCTCTGAGGGACCTGGGCTAGCAGGTGCTGACACGGGTAAGGGGAAGCTCTTTGGAAGAGCCCCAGGTTCCTGACTAGGTGACAGGAGGAAACGGGTCCAGGGAGCTGAAAGGGGTGAGGAGGCGACTGCTAGCTCCAGTTTGCAGGGCCTCAGACAGCCCCCAGGTCAGCAGGGAGGACCCAGGCCTCAGCTCGAGTGCAGGATGGCCAGGGCAGGGTGAAGTCCAGGGACTCAGAGAGAAGCGAGAGAAACTGTGAGGGGTGGGGGACAGACAGACAGACAAGGCCAGGCAGGGAAGGGTCAGAACAGAGACAGATAGGAACAGAGACCAACAGGCATTTCCTCCTCTGCCCTGTCCTGAGCTGCCCCCAGCCCCTCCTCCAGGGAGCTCTCCAGGAGCCCCCTTGGCAGACGCCTTCACAGGCAAACCCAGCCCCTCCCTGTGCCACTGGGCTCTACGTGTGGCCTCTCGAGTCTCTGCCGGCCTGTCCACATGGCGGTGCCAGCGCTGCTTCGCAGGGCCCAGGGTAAAGGCGGCATGAGCAGGGCACTGGCTGAGCAGGCGCTCAGGACTGGGCCAGAGCAGTCCTTGCCAGTGTCACGGGGTATCCCGGCCTGGGGAGCACACACTGGGTACCCAGTCAGCCCTGCCTCTCGCCTGGTTCCCCCGCAGGGGCTCCACCATCACCACCACCGGGTGGAGCCAGCAACAGGACAGCCTGCTCATTCCTTGGGGAGCCCGGGGCCCTATGAAGAAGCAGAGGTGCCAGGGCAGCGTGTGAGGGGTTCCCCTCCAGCAACGTCCCAGGAAAGGTGCTGGCCCCAGCCTCGGCCACCACCAGCTGCCGTGACTCAGTGCCCAGTGCCCAATCCCATGGCCAGCAGCTCGTGGGAGCGGGAGATGGCAGCTGCTGGGCCTGCCCTGACCAGCGCCTCTGGGCTCCAGGGCTGCCCTTCCCCACTGGTATACAGAAGTGCAGGCCCCACTGCCCCACTCTGCACCTGCCTGGGAGCCCACCCAAGAGAGCTGCCCCTCAGTACAGAGGAGTGAGGCCTCAGTCATGTGCCAGGCAGGGGCCATCTGCATGCCCACGGCCACTCTGCACCCCACGTGGACCCCCGACACCACCCACCAGGAGGGGCTTACTGCACCCCGGCAGTGGCAAGACTTCCCCCACTCGGCTGCTTTCTCAGCACGGGGAAAGCGTCATTCCAGACCGGGTGCTCTCAGAGCAGGGATCCGGACCCCCTCCACCGAGGGCCTGAGTCAGGGGACATCTGAGTCTGCCACGAGTCACTTTGTCACTGCTTTCCGGCAGAGACCCACCTCCAGGCAACAGTCACAGCCTGGCAGATGGCCCTGGGCTTGGGGACCCATAAATCATTCCCACAGCCTCGCCTCTGTGGCTGCAGAGACGTCTCAGCCGAGGGTAGTGCTGAGGAGACTGGAGGGTCCGGTTGAGGCACCAGATCTGTCCCCCACTGCCTCGGTGGGCAGAGGGGCGAGTGGGCCCTAGGGAGGTCAGCCTCTCCCGACTGCCTGACCTGCGGTAGCAACCTCCCAGGTGGAGTCCCCCACTGGCGCCCCTCCCCGCCACTGTGCACTGCCCCCCAGGGAGGGGGTAGCCTCACCACAGAGACCCTATCTGCATGAAGCCAGGCCACTGACCTCAGGACCCTGGCGCCTGGCAGACCTCAGGTCCTGCCCACCCGAGTGCGCCTGCTTCCACCAGCCCTCCCCCAGCTCTGAACACCCTGGGGTGTGGGCCGAGGAGGCCTGAGCCCTGGCAGGGCACCCCGGGCCACTTGCCGCTGCCGGCCGTCAAACTGGCACTGGTCCCCTGGCCTGGGCTGCCGGTACTCTTACGTGCACATATGTGTTCACATGCATACTCACTCATGTGACACACGCCTGCATGCTTACAGACACGCCTGTACACACTCACACCCAGTCGCTATTGCCCAAGCTCACACCCTCTCCACACACATACCACTTGCATGCCCCCACTCTCCTACATACAAGCGCATACACTGACACACATGTATGCACTCAGTCTGGGGCCCTGTGCCTGCCTTTGTCCATCGGGCAGGGGGCCTCTCCTCATGGGGCCCCCTCCTGGCAGCCAGGAGGGTGGAAGGAAAACTGACCAGCAGCGTGGTCCAGCCAGCTCCAGGGCCAGAGAGCTGCCGCTGAGCGGCCCCAGGCTGCATGTGGCCTGGGCCTGTGGCCCCTGCCTCCCGTCGCGTCTGTATACATGGAAGAGGGCAGCCTGGGGCAGAGACGGGCGGGGCCAGGGGCTGTCCAGGAACCCAGAGAGGTTGGCAGAGATGAAAGAAAGAGAAACATGGAACAAAACAGGACTTAGAGAAGGGAGAGCCCACAGCAGGGCGGGCAGGAGGTGGCAGCGGGGCACTAACATGGCATTACTGGTGGCGTCGGAGGTGGCATCGGCAGCAGGGAGGACTCCACACTCAGCACATTTGAGGGCACGCCCGAGGGGGGGCGGGGGCAGCTGACTGCCGGTGAGACCAAGGCTGAAACAAAAGCAAAGTCCGCCCTCCGGCCAGCCGTGGGGGACAGGAGAGCAGACAACCGTGGGGCCCAGCGGGTGTCTCGGGGCGGGGCCAGGGTGGCCTCGGACTCTCGTCCACCTCAGGAGCAAGGGCACTCTGGGGACCCGGGCCCATGGGCTGCATGAGGCTGGGCACAAGGGGATAGCAGCTGGACCCGTGCGTGTCAGCTACCGGCGAGTTCTGCTGCCCTCGCTGCCAGAGCTGTGCCCTGCCTGCCCTCGCCCCCCAGTGGGTCGTCTGAGCAGCCCCAGCACGCGAGGACTGAGCGCCCTGCTGGCTGGCCTTCCACCAGCGAGCAGGGCCGTGCCGCAGACGTCGGGCTGCACTCCCGCACACGTAGGCATGGCCACTGCGCGTCCGCCTCGAATCCCGGCTTCACGGCCACCTCCTCCCTCAGCATTCAGATGGGAGGGAAGTGGCAGAACTGCCCACGTTGTTCTCAGGTGCAAACGGAACTACTCAGCTCGGGTGGCAGAACTGCGGGGCCTTGGTGCTGCCCCGGAACCTGTGGCCCTAGGGCTGCTTCGCTGTGTGACTCACTGTCTCACCCGTGTGTGAGGGACAGTGGGTTCCGGGCCAGGTGGGGCACAGGGGCTAGGGGCCAGGCGGCAGACAGAGCCAGCCTCCTAGTCACTAAGGGACCCTCAGCACTTGGGATACCCCCGGCCCACTCAGCTGGTCTAACCAGGACCAGAACCCACCAGGCGCCCAAGGAGAAGGCTCCCTGAAGCTCCGGCTCACTAGGGAGAGCAGGAGCCAGGGCGGAGGGAGAGAGCAGAGCAAGCACGCAGGATTCCACAGAGGGTGGGAGGGGCTCACGCAGACACCAGCCAGGAAAGGACACACAGCGGGGGCAGTGGGAGGGAGGGGCTGGACAGAGAGGCTGGAAGGTGCCTCGAGGCTGCCCAGACAGGAAACCTCCCTCAAGGTCACACCGCAGCGTAGACCCCCGGAGGCGGGGAAGGCCAGGGAACCCGAGCAGCCAGGGCCTCTGGGAGCCATCTCACTGTCCCTGAGGCCCTCACAGGCCTGCCCATCACAGGGCAGGTGGGGAGACCGAGGCACAGAACCTGAGAAGTGAGCCTCAGCCTGGCGGCGCGCCTGAGACGCCCCTGCACTCCGGGCCTCAGTTCCCCACTCGCTGCAGGGTCCCAGTCCTGCAGTCTGGGACTGGGCGATGGGGCACCCTCCACCGGGGGGACGGAGCGGTGGGCCTGTCTCCCTGCTGAGGTGGGGCGCAGCGGGCCCTACCCTGCCCGCTCCTTCAGCTTCTTGTCGGCGATGCCGTCCTTGGACACCAGCTTGTTGAACACCAGGATCCCGATCACCATGTTCACCTGCCGAGCAGAGGGCGCTGAGGGCTCACCCCACCAGGGCTGCTCTGGTGCATCCGGCAATGCCTGTCATCCTGTCACCCAGTCGGGTAGGAGTTCAGGTGACCCCCAGCCTGGCTGCCCTCCTCCACCCCGTCCTCGGCACCTCAGCTCCCTCCATCCCTCCCATGGTGGGGAGGCTCACCACCCCCAGGCCAAGGATGCCCTCCCACCTGCAGCCAAGGCATGTCCCTAGGCCGCCCCACATCTTGGCTCCTCCCGCAGGCTGCTCTGACCAGGCCGTCCTACCACGGTGCCCCAGGCGTCCTCCCCGGGGGTTCTTCCTGGCTGCCTGAGCACCACCAGGCCAGGAGCCGTTCCCAGAGCCCCGTAAGCCACCTTCACAGACCCCTGGGGTGTCCCCTCTTCTGGTCTTCTCTGCCAGGGCTGGGGGGACAGTTCCAGCTCACTTGGCCCCTAAAGACTTTCCCTTGGCCTCCCACTCTGCAGAAAGAGGCGGATACAGCCTGACCTCTCAGGGCCATCACCCTGCACCAGGAACCCCAGGCCCAGAGGCTTAGGCGGCCAACTGGGTGGCCCCTGGGATTCTGCACTCAGGCCCCTGCCTCTGGGGTTCTCTGAACCGGAGTTCCCAAACCCCGATGCCAACACTCGCCAAGCATGACCAGGGCGGAGCTGTTTCCTGGCAGCCTCCTTTCCTGACGTGGCAGGGGCAGACAAGGACAGGAGGGCACAGGCCCCCACCTGCAGCTGGCTCTGCTCTGCAGTGGAAAGGGCTGTGGGGGCTGCCCCCAGTGGCTCAGGACTAGCCTCTGCCCCAGATATGTCCTGGAGAGGGGTGGGCGGCGGATGGGGGTTCCTGCTTCTCCGCTCCCCATTCCCCAGTGTCCAGGTGCTATTGTGTAAAATGGTGCCAGGGCTGCTGGCCCCGAAGCCAGCCCGAGAGCAGCGACAGGCACCGCACGCCCAGCCTCTCCAGCTTCTGCCAGGGCACCTTGGAGGAGTAACAGCCTGGGACCCTGGTAGCTGAGGCCATGGCTGGGGGTTTGGACTACCCCTCCTTTACCCACGTAACTGTCCCCTGCAGAGCCAGCCCCCGGGGCTGCACTCTCTCCCGCCATGTCCAGCCTGTGCCTGAGCCTCACAAGCAGGAGCTGCGGCCTTGCTGCCCTCCCCGGGGGCACTGCCCAGGAGCAGGGTGCTCCAGGGGCTCAGAGCGGGGCTCGGGCAGGTCCCGGCCCAGTCATCTGCACCTGGAGACAACGGCCCTGTGCACCACGTCACTTGTGCCAGGCGCAGACCAGGGCTCTTGGGCTCTGGAGCTTCAGGGCTGCCCAGGGCTGGCTGTACACCCTGCTGCTGCCCATCCCCACCCACCCTTTGGTCCCTCACCGAACCCACATAGGTCTCTGACAGGTCTATGGTCACCCTGTAACCAGGCCCACTGTGCTCCCAGGGATTGACAGCCACCCCAAGGGTAGCTCGAGCACCCCACCCTGGCCCTCTGGTCAACCCTGGTGGGACAGCAGGTACCCCAAGGCCCAGCCCAGGTCCAGGTGAGAAAACTCAGGAAGTCCAAAGCCCCTAGCAAGGCGTGGGCCCCAGGGTCGGTACCAGCACGACGGCAGCAGCGGGTCCCACGAAGGCATACAGCAGTCCCCCCTCCAGGGAGAGCCAGCAGCTGGGGAGAGACGGGCTGGTCAGTGCTGCACCCCACGGCCCAGAGGGGCCACTTGGAAAGGAGCTGGCACCTACGAGGCGCCTGCTGGATGAGGTGCTCCACGCCCACACTGCAGTTTCAGATCCCAGGGCCCCGGCGGCCACCGCCACTCCGTCACGGAGCGGACAGGCCCGGAGCGCATGGCGGGGACCAGCTGGCATGCGGACCTCCTAGGCTTGGACCCCTTCCGGTCCTTCTCCTGGCATCTCTGGTAGAACCCACCTCCCGTCATGATGCCAGTCTGGGGCTGGGCCCCCCGCCCTTTGCTGGCCCACTCCGCCCTGGCCCCATGACCTGGGACCTTGCTTTGTGTGGATACTCTGGCCTGGCTCCTCCCCACCCAGCCATCAGCCCCACATTCCCCCAGTCTCTGTACCACCCACAGTGACCCTCAGGACCCTCAAACTCAGCATTTTGCTTGTGCCACTCCATGGGCCTGGGAGTCTATCCACGCTGTCTGGTCAGTGGACTCCTCTTCATCCCTCAGAACCCTAATCCCATGCTCTCCTCCCCTCCTTAACCCACCTGCCGCTGGTGGGCTGGCACTGTCTCCTCGCACCCCAGGGGAAGGCTCCCATTTCCCTGCCAGCACTCACCCTGCCAGGCTCTGCAGGTCCCATTATGCACACTCCTCCCCACTGCCCAGATGGGGCCCGCCACACTGTTCCCCTGGGTTCCAGCCCCCACACTCTCGCCCCCTCCTGCCCTTTGGTTCCCAC